GTCATGGCTACGGCTGACACGTCATGGCTACGGCTGACACGTCATGGCTACGGCTCTCATGTCGTGGCTACGGCTGACACGTCATGGCTACGGCTGACATGTCGTGGCTACGGCTGCACGTCATGGCTACGGCTGAGGAAAAAACTTTTTCAATTGAAATATTTCGTAATTAAAAATAAACAGAAAATTAATAATGATTAATTTTCCAATATTATTATTATAATATTAGAAATTAATATTATAATGTCTTCTAATATTAATTAATAATTAATTAATTTGAAGTCCGTATTAATTAATAATTACGGACATCAAAGGTACCCACCATTGGCTAGCCCGATACAGAAAAACATTTGTGCAAAAACAACCAAATTCAGACATCAGAGATACTAACCATAGGCAAGCCTGTGGTAGTCTGTATGCGCTGCAGCCGCGTCGCAGAAGTCTGCAGTGCAGAGTCGCACGCTTATTCTGTAGTGATAGTCTGCTAGCAGACCTGAGACCTCAACCTCTGAGTCTGTAGTCAGTCTGGACCAGCGGGCGACAGGGGCGGCCGCCTGTAAGGCGCACAGAATACACTCAAACGAATGAATGGGTCGTATTGTCCCAATAGTGACGCACTTTCATAATCACAGCACGAGCACTGAGAGAGGACGTAGCACTGATACGCCTTTCCTGCAACAAACTGTGTCAGGATGACCCACACAAAAGCAATAAGTGCATAGTTATTTGGACAAGGTCTTATTCAATTACCGGAGAGTAGTTTTAGCCTAAGTGTCTCATGGGATAGATTATCAGAAGCCTATTTATGCAACAATAAATTGTCCTTGACAAATCGCGTATCCAGGATACTTATCGTGTCGGGATATTGTATATAGGGGCTGTTGGGGCGCGTATCCAGGATACTTATCGTGTCAGGATATTGCCTTATCCTTAAAATTTATTCTTAGAGGCACAATAGCGAGGCATTGTGGAACTGGGAGAGAGGAGGTGAGCAAAAATTCAAATTTGGTTAATTAATTGGTATTTATGAATATATTTTGAAAGGGGGCAAATGTAATTGATTCTTATTCAAAATATTTTCATATTTTGTAACGAGAGTCAAATGGGAAAAATTGAAGTTCTATGTCCCAAGGGAAATGTGAGTTTAAGGGGTCTCTTTTAATTAGTTTTCATCATATCAACTTTTAGTTACGGGGTTCGGGATAGCGGGATTCAAAATTTGCAGGAATTATCGATCGTTGTCAACGCTGGGCCAACCTACAGCCCAGGACGCGTGTTCACATTAAATTTAATGACACCAACATTAATTCGTGAATGGATCATTGATAATTGATTTAAACAGAATAACCAGTTGGGCCGGATACCTGTCGTCTGTAGCGCTCTCAAGATTTTTAGTAAGGATGTATCTAATAGGTTAAATTATTATGCTATTATATCATTATCTAAAACTAATACCTTAGGGTAAATGTAGTAGTGTAAATTTTTGAGCTACAATATTATTGTGAATAAATTAACACACTTCATAGTTCATAGTAAATTGCATGGTGACCGATAAAATGAACAAAAGTCTAAATGGTTAGAACTAACTCTAGGGTTGGAACTAATTCTAGGGTTGGAACTAACTCTAGGGTTGGAACTAACTCTAGGGTTGGAACTAACCCTCGCCACGCGTGAGGGTTCCAGGGGTTGGACGAAGACGGCAAAGAATTGGTTGGGGTCAAGGGCGACCCTAACCCTCCAGGTGACATTGACCTTTGACCCGCCCTTCCACTCGCCCTGTTAACAAGGCAGAAAATATTGTTAGCGTACATGAACGTTTCTAACGCACATGAACGCTTCAAACGCACATGAACGCTTCTAACGCAGATGAACGCTTTTAACGCAGATGAACGTTTCTAACGCACATGAACGCTTCTAAAGCACATGAACGTTTCTAACGCACTTGAACGCTTCAACGCACATGAACGCTTCTAACGCAGATGAACGCTTTTAACGCAGATGAACGTTTCTAACGCACATGAACGCTTCTAAAGCACATGAACGCTTCGAACGCACTTGAACGCTTCAAACGCACATGAACGCTTCTAACGCAGATGAACGCTTTTAACACACATGAACGTTTCTAACGCACATGAACGCTTCTAACGCACACGAACGTTTCTAACGCGCATGAACGTTTCTAACGCACATGAACGTTTCTAAAGCACATGAACGCGTCTAACGCGCATGAACGTTTCTAAAGCACATGAACGCTTCTAACGCAAATGAACGCTTCTAACGCACATGAACGTTCCTAACGCACATTAACGTGTGAACGTTGAAAGTCATTCACTGTTAACCGAGTTCATCCTGAATAATTTCATGTTCATTTATTTTCTTAAATCTCTGAGGTGTTTGCACTGCCACGTCTATAGTAATCATCTTAGTAACATTTGAGCCCGACCTTACCGCAGTGGTTGTGACGTCGTGAAGGGTAAGGTCCGAGGTTTTTTAACCGGTTTTGCTATTTTAAACATGTTGCTTTTAAAATTTTCTTTACTGAAATAAAAATAAGTTTTATCCGCATGAACAGAAGTTTTAATAAAGAACCAAGTGCAGTGTAATACCAGCGATTGAAATTTTATCCAAGTCAGTGTAATTATACAAGATAGTTGCCGACGTTTGATCGTAAAACTCGAGACATTCTGACAAGATTAAAGGTTGCCGGCGAACGTCCGGTGACAAACATTGCTAACGCACATGAACGTCTCTAACGCACATGAACGTTGTCGACGGTGGTGAAGTTGAGGTGGCGGCTGGCGTTAGGCAGGCGGTGGCACAACGTCTTAACGTCCCTGAAGTTCTCGGAGTTGAAGCCTAACACCGTCACCGCGGTGACGGTACAGCACGAGCCTGGCCCTGGGGGCGTTAGAATGGCCGTTGGAATGAGTGGTGCGGTGGATGAAGTGACATTAGTTACTGATATTCAACAAAACTAGTTAGCTCTTCTGATCGACAGTCACTGAAAGAAGTCCCACTATTTACCACTAGTCACCAGAAGTCACAACTAAACTCTAGTTACCATTGGTCGCCAGAAGTCACAACTAACCTCTAGCTACCACTGGTCTAGTTACCACTAGCCACTAATAACCACTAGTTACCGAGGCGGTAGATAGTGAGGCGCAGAGAAGCAGGCGGCAGGCGGTCACTCGAGTCCGTACGCCTGCCTGCGGCGTCGACACATTGCCTGTCAAGCAAGTACTCCTCCAGGGCACGTGGGTCGCGCACGTAAGCCTGCCGTGCACGCGCAATAGTAAAGAAATATAAGTACTCACTGCAGTGAGTGACAGAGAGCGCATTTTCTCGTCGCGAAAACGTGAAGTCACGGACGGACGGACAGACGGACAGGCATTCGGACAGACGGACGGACAGACGGACATGGCAAGCACAATAGTGCATTTTTTCATAAACGAGAAAATGCGCTAAAAACATTCATTCGTTTATTGTGCTTACATTCAGAGCTCATGAATATTCAGAAGTTTTTCAGAAGATAAAGCAATATTCAGAAGAAGTCTTTATCTGCATTCAGACATTAGTTTTAACGAAACCTAAAAACTTAAAAGCAAATAAAACTCCACAAAAATTCATAGTATCTTTAAAGAAAACGTTTTTAGTGAATTTGCGATTCAAGCAAACGAGTGATATTATTACTAAACGAAACCTCAATAGGGCCAAAAAAGTCAAAGGCACCTGCTGAGTCGGGCTCTTAAGCTTGCTGAGTCGGGCTCTTAAGCTCGCTGAGTCAGGTTCTTAAGCTCGCAGAGTCGGGCTCTTAAGCTCGCAGAGTCGGGCTCTTGAACCCAACTCAAAATTCATTTTTTTTAATCTTCAACACCGGCAAAAGTAAAGCATTTCGCTTAAAAGCCTCACCTAAAACTGTAAAACATTTATCCCATTTAGATGCTCATTGGCATAGCGAGACTAATTTCATATACGTTGACGACTTTCAGTGTGTATAGATTCACGTGTGTCTATTGTACTGTGTGTATACAGACAGTACAGTATGCATTCAGTACACAGCGCAGTATACACAGTACACAAAATTTATATACTCTTACGTACAGCATACGGTAATCTATATACGGTTTCACAGTCTAGCACTTCAGCAACAGTCGATACAATTTGCATGAGGTGAACTCATAAGGGAGGGTGAACCCTTTACGTGCATATGATCCCATACGGTGAAGGGGATAATGAAATTCCGCTCACATTACGCCTCTATTAAAAAAAAGACCTTGACGCTTTCGATCCAAAATCATATCGACCTATCGCCAACATGCCGATTTTGTCGAAACTCATGGAACGTGATGTGGTGCGACAGCTGAACAATCATCTTCAACAGTCCGGTCTCATGCCTCGCCTCCAGTCTGCATACCGTCATCTCCACTCGACGTTAACCGCTGAGCTGAAGTGCTGTCAGACATTCTGCGAGCGAGTAGTAGACAGAGGCGATATTGTGGCACTAGCTTTACTCGATCTGCCACACGGTCGACCACGCCACTTCATTGCGTCGACTTGACGTATTATTCGGCCAGCGCGGCACACTGCTGCTGTGGTTTGAGTCCTATCTCAGCAAGAGATTCCAATGCGTTCGACGCGGGAACTCTTCATCTACGCCATCGTTGGTCACGTACGGCGTACCACGGGAATCAGTTCTCAGCCCGATCCTCATCCTGTTATATACTGTCGACGTATTGCAAATAATCGATTCACATAGTTTGAATCCGCATATGTTCGCCGACGACACCCAAATTTATGACTACGGTGCACCGGCTGACGCCACAGCGTTGCAGGATCGAATGTCTGCCTGCATGGACGCCGTCTCAGACTGGTTGCACTACACCCGGCTCCAGCTCAATGCATTAAAAACAAACTTTATTTGGTTTGCGACTGCTTGGCGCTAGCATCAGCTTCCGGCCAACCCTGTTCGCGTGGGAAACGTATCTATATACGGTTTCACAGTCTAGCACTTCAGCAACAGTCGATACAATTTGCATGAGGTGAACTCATAAGGGAGGGTGAACCCTTTACGTGCATGTGACCCCATACGGTGAAGGGGCTAATGAACTTCAGCTTCCATTACACCTCTATTAAAAAAACAGACCTTGAAGCTTTCGATCCAAAATCATTTCGACCTATCTTCAACCTGTCGATTTTGTCGAAACTCCTGAAACGCGTTGTTGCGCGCGACAGCTGAACAACCATCTTCAGCAGTCCGGTCTCATGCTTCACCTCCAGTCTGCCTACCGTCATCTCCACTCGACGTGAACCGCTGTGCTGAAGGTGCTTGGAAGAAATCGGAAACCTATTCTTTCAGACATTCTACGAGCGAAGAGGAGACCGTGGCGACATTGCGGCATTAGCTTTACTCGATCTGCCACTCGACCTGCCACACGGTCGACCACGCCGCTTTATTGCTTCAACTTAATTGACGTATAATTCGGCCATCGCGACGTGCTGCTGCGGTTTGAGTCCTATCTCAGCAATAGATTCCAATGCATTCGACGCGAGAACTCTTCGTCGACGTCATCGTTGGTCACTTGCGGCATACCACAGGGATCAGTTCTCAGCGCGATCCTCTTCCTGTAATATACTGTCGACGTATTGCACATTATTGATTTATAGTTTGAATCGTCATATGTTCGCCGGCGACACCCAAATTTACGACTACTGTGCACTGGCTGACGCCGCAGCGTTGCAGGATCGAATGTCTGTCTGTATGGACGCCGTTTCAGACTGGATGCGCTTCACCCGGCTCTAGCTCGATGCATTAAAAATAGACTTTATTTGGTTTGCGACTGCTCGGCGCCAGCATCAGCTTCCGGCCAACCCTGTTCGCGTGGGCAACGAGCTCGTAATGCCTGCGTCTTCGGTTCGCAACCTCGGCATTCTGCTGGACTCGAAACTTCAGCTTTCGTAACTTCAGCTTTTTTGTTGCCGGTGTTTCGTCGACGCCTAAAGACGGAACTATATCGTAGAGCCTATGAATCTAGTGCTTAGTCATTTTATTCGTTCCCATCTTTTCTTGTGTCCATTGATCTTTCGCTTGCTATTTATCTTGTGTGTGACGTGCCCTTCGTTTGAACCAGACGCCAGTTCGTTTGAACCAGACGCCACGATAATTGCTTCGTAAATAATAATAATAACCCAAGAGAACCTACCAACATGACTTGGGGGTCGTCGGCACTGACGGCGAGGTGTAGGGCGCGGGGCTCCTGCAGGGACATCTTGACGCGCGTCCAGTTCGGCTTGTGCTCAGGGTATCCTACGGTGCGGGCCTCTACCAGCACCTCGTAGACCTGCCCGGGGGTCAGGCCTGGGGGGAGGAGTGGGAGGGGAGAATGAAGGAGGCTAGCTATGGAGAATGGTGAGTAGTGATTGGGGAATGGTGATGCGGAACAGGAGGTAGTGATGAGGAAGGGCGGGATAGTGATGATCAATAGTGTGGACATGTTATGGTGGTGGAATGCTTACATCAAATTTACGAAGCAAAATCTTTATTATGAAAGTTATCGAATTGTGAACGTTTATGGATATCCACGGGATATTCCCTGACCAGAGATATTGTAGGAGTGAACATCGGGCTTCAATATCCGGCTGATGGTTGCCGCTGAATTGTTCAGTGGGCGCCACTGGATGCGCTGTTCCTTCACCTCCCCCGACGCCTCGGCCACTGTCAGCGGCGCCCAGTCCACCCGCAGCGCCCACAGGGAGAGCTTGTGCACGTACAGTCTGGGGACGTGCTTGGGGACTGGGGGGAGGAGAGGGAGGGTTAGGGGGAGTACAGTCTNCACTGTCTCTTATACACATCTAGATGTGTATAAGAGACAGCTTACTGCCTGACCCACTTACTCCCTGACCCACTTACTGCCTGACCCACTTACTGCCCTGACCCACTTACTGCCTGACCCACTTACTGCCTGACCCACTTACTGTATGATCCACTTACTGCCTGATCCACTTACTGCCTGACCCACGTACTGCCTCACCCACTTACTGCCTGACCCACTTACTGCCTGACCCACTTACTGCCTGAACCACTTACCGCCTGCCCCACTTCGTGCCTGACCCACTTACTGCCTGACCCACTTACTGCCCTGACCCACTCACTGCCTGACCCACTTACTGCCTGACCCACTTAACGCCTGACCCACTTACTGCCTGACCCACTTACTGCCCTGACCCACTTACTGCCTGACCCACTTAACGCCTGACCCACTTACTGCCTGACCCACTTACTGCCCTGACCCACTTACTGCCGGGCATGGTGCGCTGAGTCTGCACCGGTCCGGGCTCACTAGAAACCGCGTCCCCTTTGCACGGTCCCCTCCCGGACCGAATGGGGGCCACCCACCCCCCCACGGCGCTGGCCCGCACGAAGAACTCGTAGGACGTGTAGGGGACGAGGTTGTCGGCCACGGCGCTCGTCACGTTCGTCACGGTCGCCATCGTCTTCCATGACGACGCGGCGTCCTTGTGGACGACACATTCGTCGTCTGCCGTCCTCCTGACCTCCTCTGCGGGGGGGGAATGGGGGGATTAGTTGGTGGGGGCAGTTGGGGTCAGGTGATTGAGGGGAGTTGGGGAGTCAGGTGGTGGGGTGAGACAGGAGATGGGGATGAGAGAGGTGGTTGGGGTAGAGTGGGGGTTAGTCGGTCAGGAGGAACAGACGGGTTGGGTGATTGGGCGACTTAATGAGTCTTCAGAGTCTACTTTATTTAATTAAAAAGACCCAAAATAATTTTTCTATCTTCAAACGAAGTTCAATGAGAGTTCTATGTTCCCCGTAATATGTGGCTTTGAGCGCGTCTTTTTCAATTAGCGTATATTAGCTTTTTTGTTGGATACGGGATACGGGATCCTAAAATTATATGGAACATCGATCCCGAGTAAGGCCAGGCTAACCTGTTAGTTTATAANCTGTCTCTTATACACATCTAGATGTGTATAAGAGACAGGTGTTAGACGTGGTGAAGATAACCTGGTAGATCTCCTGTGTAGAAGGGGTGAAGGGTGTTAGACGTGGTGAAGATAACCTGGTAGATCTCCTGTGTAGAAGGGGTGAGTGGTGTTAGACGTGGTGAAGATAACCTGGTAGATCTCCTGTGTAGAAGGGGTGAGTGGTGTTAGACGTGGTAAAGATAACCCGGTAGATCTCCTGTGTAGAAGGGGTGAGGGGTGTTAGACGTGGTGAAGGTAACCCGGTAGATCTCCTGTGTAGAAGGGGTGAGTGGTGTTAGTCGTGGTGAAGATAACCTGGTAGATCTCCTGTGTAGAAGGGGTGAAGGGTGTTAGACGTGGTAACGAGGCACTGGTGCACCACGTCTTTAAAAAAAGTTTGTGGTTGTGAATCGTACATTCACCATTCACAACCGATGACGTCATCATTAACCTCTGCTTGGTAACAAACGCAACATTCAACAATAAGTACGATATTGATCATTAACTAAATCACTAACTATATATCATTATTTAGTTTATTTAAGGACACCAACTGAAGGCCATGCTGCAAGCATCGCCTCCGACGGCTGCCAAGTGCCGCTCACCAACGACACTGAGAAATGTACTGCGATTCCCGAGGCTCGGACCCACGACTTACTCCTCTCATCTCGGTGGCGCTACCACTGCGCTACAGTGGTAGTTGTATAGCAGCACCAATATAAAGCATAAACTAATATTGACCTCCGTGAACTTCGTCAGCCATGGTGATGTAGATGATCTTAATCTTGGAGATGACCACCATATTCTTCGGAAGGACCGCTAGTATTAACCATTAAATAATGGTTAATATTGGCGGTCCATTAAAAAGATAATGGTCCACTGTTGGTCCGTTATCTTTTTAAGACACCATTAACAAAATACCAATACCACCCATTATTTAAAAATGACCATTAAGTTAGTTAGTTAGTTAGTTTAGTGGCCAAATGTTTACTAGCGTTTCAGCTATTTAGCTATCTCGAACCGAAAGTCAAGATGAACATCACCAAAGAAGTGGAAAGTCTCAGTTATCGAAAGTTTCTTAAATCAAGAAATTATTCATCACCCACAAGGGGCGGAAGGTCTCAGTTGTCCAGCCCGCTGAAGCTGGATCGAAAGAAGCAGCGTTAGCATCTCAAAGAGACGAAGTGACAAGGAGGGACAGATGACAAGGAGGGACAGGTGATCCTATCTACATAATAACTTAACCCCACAACTGAGACCTGCAGTCAGACACTGCGAGCTCAGCGGTGGGGCGCTCAGGAACAATCCCTCTATATAGGAGCGCGAAATCCCATAGGACTTCTGACGAGCACAGACACACGTCAGAAGACCACCCTGAGAGGAAAATAACATTAAAGCAAGCATTAACCTCGTCGGCCATGGTGATGTACATGATCTTAAGCTCGGAGCTGACCACCCCGTTCTTGGGGATATCTGTGTCGATGAGGTAGTGGCCGTCATGGCAGATCCTCGCGCCGTTCTTGTACCACTGAACCTCGAGGTTGAGGACGGCCTTCCCCACGCACGTGAGGGTGTGGTATGACGCCCCATTGGGGAGTGACCACGACAAGGAACTTTGGTAGATCACGGGGGGCTCTTGCACCGCCAGCCAGTATTGCTGTAAAGGGGGACTTGCATTACCCTAAAAAGCTTGTGTAAGATGTAAATTTTCAACTATTATCTTGAAATTAATTAGACTCCCCTATTACCCTAAATAACCTGCTTAATATCATCTACAATTGAATTGCGCATCCCCGTAAAATAGGCTTGGAATTTTCCCGTCCCGCCCTTATATATTGGATTAGAACTGTCTTTAGTATTAACTAAAACATAGTCGGTATTTATCTAGAAGCCCTTATATTTCTTAAAAACCGGATCAAATATTACCCTAAAACAGGCTATTGTATTAGGTTGAAATTTCCCGTTACCCCTAAAACAAGCTTTGTATTACCATAAAACGGGCATGTATTATCCTATTAAATTATTATCATATTATTCTTGAAACGGGCATTGTACTGTTTTGATTTGCTTGACCATTATACGATCGTTTGTATTACTCAAAAATTATCATTTTAGTTTCATAAAACGGGCTTTTACATGGACGTGCGTTTTGAATGGCCCTTGGACGTGCCTTCTGTTACCCAAAACGAACGTTTTGAATAATAAGAAGTTCTGCTGTACTCTTAATTTTGTTCTTAAAAAGGACACCTGCAATGGAAATTCATATCAGGCAATTCAATAGCGCTCAGTGAGTGAGTGCAGGGCTTTGGCCCCTTCGGAAATTCGGCCTCAAGACATCCAAAGAACAAAATATCTAACAGATATAACTGTTCTATTTTTAATTCCAGACTGGCTTGCCATTGCCATTCAGGGAGTTAACTCGCATGTCTTTGCCATTCAGTGGTGGATTATCTCGCTTGCCACTGCCATTCAGTGCGTTATCTCGCATGCAACTGCCATACAGTTGGTTAACTCGCATGTCTCTATCATTCATAGAATTATCTCACTTGCCACTGCCATTCATAAGATTAACTCGCATTCCACTGCCATTGATTGTATCAACTGGCTTGCCACTGCCATTTAGTGGCAGGCGTCCGCCGCTGAGCAGCAAATAGAATTCTTGCTCAGCGTATCTTGGATACGTTGAGCGATGAGGGAGACGGCGCATCCATCACACGCTTGACGCGCGCGCTGCTGCTGGGGCGCTCAGTGAGTGTTCAGCTCATGTTCAGTGAGTGTTCAGCTGACGTTCAGTGAGCGTTCAGCTAACGTTCAGTGAGTGTTCAGTGCGTGTTTACTGAGTGTTTAGTGTGTTAATAGCATACTGAAATCAGCCGACCGCTGGCTATTAACCGGCTACCTGAAAATCGTTCCTTGCCTCATTAACAATATTCTTGAGGCATGGGGCGTGTCAGCCACGAAAATGTGATCGAAGTGATTATGGACCCAGGCATGTTTGATGCAAGGTAGAAGATCAGAATGAGCATGGGTCAACTTTGTATAAGTTCAACCACGGGACCGACCAATGTTTGGTGGTGGCCGAACTATAGCACGAGAGCTCAGATTGTACACCGATCTGCCGGTCTCTGGGATCTAAGAGTTCGCGTCTCTGTGACGCAGAGTCGTAAGAGGAGTTGTGAAGTCGATTCTTTCAAGGTCGTATGCTACAAGCTTGAGGCGGAATGTAGGTGTTGAAACTGTTGATGACATTCAATTCTACGTATAGTGACCTCCATGGTTATAGCTTGTTTTTAGATTGCGTTATGATCCGCGAGTGATGTGATCGTAAAAGAGAAGCTGTTGTGTACCAGAATAAATAGACCGGTGCCCACTGCCCAGTGCACAATTAAACGGGAAGACAATCCCTTGTACTTCCGATACTTGGATGTTGTAGAAAGATAGACGGTGTTCGAGTTCATCCCGTTTGTTCAGTATGTTGTTGCATTTCAGTTGTAGGATCATCAGAATTCTAGTGTGTGATATATCGCGAAGAATGTTGCCACTTGCTTGTGGTGTTGTTGGTTAGCCTGTGGATGTCTGAGAGGTGAGATATGCCTAGGTCGCTGGTCAGCAGATTGAGGAAGAACGCTTAAGGAGGTCTGGGCAGCCATTTTAGAGGAAGTGGTTGCTCTCTTGTGAGGGACAGTTGTCTACGTGGTACCACTTGTAGCATGTATGGCAGCGCTTTTTAATGGTCTTGTGGCAGACTAGGCCTATCGAGATCCCCGTTCTTGGGTTAGGATTCATTCCAGCCATTAGATGGAGGAGCCGAAGCAAGAAGACCGCGATGGACTGGTCCGGCGTCACAACAGAAGGATGACCCGCAACGATTTATCGAGGCGTCCAATCTGACGCTAAAATCGGCCCCACTACGAGGTGGCCGTTGCATCAAATCAAACTGTGCAAGTGAGTCACAGCATCTCAAGTGGGTCAGGCAGGTGGTCGACGGAGGAAGATGATTCATCACACTTCCAAATTCTTCCAAAGTTCAATTTTGGAAATTCCACAATTTCAAAAGTTCAACATATATCTTTTTCGTATCAACCGTATAATGGAACACACGAATAAGGTGGATTTAAATAAATATGATGAAACAAAAAAAATCGGACTCATCCTCATGAATATAATATAATATAATACAATACAATATAATCTATTCGAGGCTTATAATGTTAAATATGCTTTTAAAAATAAATTATATTATGTTTCAAGTTTATTAAGGCGCTCGCAATAACCAATATGGAGAACTCACGGAAGTTTCGTTGAGGTACGAACATTCGTAGGAGCCTGCGTCGTCTGGGGCCACACTGGGCCACACGAGGGACCCTTGGCCCCGCTTCACCACGCGGGTGCCCACAATTGGCTCCTTCTTGTCTACCAATTAAAATGAACATTAATTAGAGATTAATTAATGATGCAATTAAATGTATAGATTATTTAGTGTAGTTAATGGCGTAGGAGGTGTTATACAACATTTATCACCATAAATGATGTAATTAGAGGACTTAATTAGCTAAACTAAAGAAACTATTAAACGTAATAATAATTAGCAAGTTTTACGGAAGAATTAGACGCATGAATTAATTAGCGCGATTAACGGAATAATTACATGTATAAATTAAAGAATATCATTAATGAATATGTTATAAATTACAATTCACATATATCATGTGAATGCAAATATGGCTACAAATTTATCTTTAACGGACTTCACTTTAAAATATTTATATTGTTATGTACTGTAAAAAACTTCTTTACCTGTATAAAAACAAATAAGTTATGTTGGCATAAGTACAATTATTTGGTCTTAGTTAACCTAACTTGACGTAAGATTGGATTAACAGCAAGTGTAAAATGCATGTCCGTAATTGGTGTTATCCACAAATTAGTTCTTTAACTTTCTAGAAGCAGGTAAATTGCTTAGCATTATTCCTTTTAAATATTGCAAATAAGTCATTTTCTAATTTATTAATACATAAATTAATAATAATAGTGTCCGATTATTATCTCTGAATGAAGCGACTCCATCTGTCGCCCCGCTAATGAGCAGCACAACTTACTAATTAACAAATAATTAACTATCTAATTAAGCAACAATTATGATGCATCAAAGGTTGCTACTCATGACACACCTACGGCATGACACACCTACACCATGACACACTTAAGCCATGACCCACCCACGCCCTGACGCACTCACACTCAGAAATTCAATAGGTAATTTTGTCTCGATAGTGACACTTACTACACGTATTTTTTCACACATAATAAATTCATGTCCCGTAGCAAAGATACGCCCCTTTATCAAGTCATACTGGGTCAGGACGACTCACACAAAAGCAAGTAGCGTATGAATATTTGGACACAGTCTCGCTAAGTTCTCTGAGTGCACGTATATTTTCTTTGCATGTTTACCCACAGCGTCAACTTCGCCGCCGCTAGACATGTTCATTGCTTGTGATAATTATAGCATGTTTATTGCTGTGTTGATTATTCATGATTATTGCTTGTTAATTATTGCATGTTATACCCTTTAATATTATTGCATGTTGTCCCTTTAGCATGCAGCGGATGTACCTTTCGCAAGTAATAGAAAAGGACGATCGATCGCTCGTTCCCGAGGGGTCTAGATTGAAATTACCCTCAGTTATGGTGTAGAGTAGTAAATATGGTGATTATGAATTATTTTGTGTGTTTTTCAAATAATCTATTGTGATTAACGGATCCCACTCTTACCCTTAACGTGCCCCACTCTCACCATTAACGTGCCCCACTCTCACCCTTAACGTGCCCCACTCTCACCCTTAACGTGCCCCACTCTCACCATTAACGGGCCCCACTCTCACCATTAACGTGCCCCACTCTCACCATTAACG